TCGTCCGTTCGAATGGTTGGCTTCGTGCACTGAAATATATACTACCTGGACGTACGCTGCCATACAATATTCATGGTAAGTACACGGAATGAGAGAGAAAGAGAGGTCCCTGCTTCCTCCCTTATCCTTATCTGGGTTACAGTGTGGTCGAAAATGGGGAGAATAAGATATAGTAAAGTCAACAAGAGATAGACAAAGACAAATTGTTATTCGAGACACCCAGGTGTACTTTTTCTCTTTCTCTCTCTCTCTTATATTACACGCAGCCCAGCGCTTGTTCTAGTTTGTGTGTATTTCAGTGGCTTCGCGTGTCTCGCGTCGATCGCTCGCAAAAGTGCGGATCCTGCGTGGTTACAAGTGCCGTGAGTGTCGAATTAATCGCCCGTTGCAAGTGTGATTGAGTTTGAATGTAGGCCGGAGCTAATTGTTGTAATTTCGGTAAGTCCAAACTCTGTTATTGTTCCGACAAAAGTCCTTTGATGACGTCGTTAGATGATCGTTAGATACGTGAATAAGAAAGAGAAAAAAGAGAGAGCGAAGGAAATAGACAGTAATGCTGCAATTCTAAGCAGAATCGTAAGTCTCGTAACTTGTTCTCGTAAAATTCGTCAAAACTTATGAGTAGATTTACAAATCTATGCAATATCGTATGTCGTACAATTACTTGTAAATATTGTAAATTACATGAAATCGTAGATATTTACCAGTAATTGTACGACATATGATATTGCATAGACTTGTACTTGTAATGTACTTATAAGTTCTGACGAATTTTACGATAACAAATTACAAGACTTACGATTCTGCTTAGAATTGCAGCATATTGGAGTTTGCAGCGTCTGCTATTGATTTCTCGCCGATTTTTCGCGTCTAAAATGCGTCACCCCGTGTTCCGTAATATCTCATAATCAAACCGCGATCAATGTGTCGATAAGATTGAACTCTGCGTTTACCGACGCGACCAGCGAACGTTCGACACAGTTTGGATAGAGAGCGCCTGCGACAGAGCCGTTCAATTGTTGGTGCAGTTGCATGCTGTCTTCTGCCGGTATCTGTTTGATTTATCTCGAAGGCTCCGTAAGAAGTGCGAATTGGCGCAGACGGAACAACGGCATGTCTTCCGTAAGTATGAATACAAACTTAAGATTTTACGCATCGTAAAACTCGAATGAGTTCGACTGACTTCCCCAGGTAGAACACAAAATCATTTTGATGTCAAGATGATATCATTTTGACATCATGTCATGAAATTGTCATGAAAATTGTATCGTTTGACGTCAAAATAACATCACTTTTATATCATTTGATGTCATTTTGACTTTTGTATGACTTTGTGTTCTATCTGGGTTCGTTCTTTCTTCAATTTTCATTGAATTTCATTTTATTCTGGGTCATTTAATTTTATTGACTTCATAGTCAATTCGTCATAGCTGTTGATCGATTAAATTCACGGAACCTTAATTGAGGAGAATTTTGATACGCGTTAATCACGCGATCCCGTTTCTCACGGTATCCACACACTACACACACACACATTCACACATTACACATCCGTACGCATATACATACATCGCCTACGAAGAGACTCAATAGTTACGTTTAGTAGAAAAAGCGCTTTACGCTGCGTTGCCAGCAGCTCTGCGATTGCTCGTGAGATTTTCTGCTGAACGACGCTTAGTGGCTTAGGTTTTTTAACATATTTAGTAATATCGAGAATATGCTGGAAAAAATGACGATCGCTTAGTAAATATGTTGGAAAAACGTAAATTTATTCAGAAGAAAATCTTACAAGTTGCAAAGTTGCTGCAGTAGAAAGTGTTTATTAAGTTTCTCTGCTGAACGCAATCATCGTAATCATCGTTGACGTATGAGTTTTCGATCTTCACTTTTTAATCTATAACATACATGGGTCGTATGCATCGTATAATAATAATAATCATAAATAATACTTACGTCAGACATTTAAATGCTTGTTAAACATTATCACTTCTCGCTTGCGCAAATTATCGTTTATATGTGAATTATCAGATTAGAATTATGATGAATCAAATAAATAAGTCGGATTAATTTGATCATTGCGCAACCAAATCTTTGCTGAGATTCACTCCTCTTTCGCAGAAGAGAAAATGTTATTTTTCGATCTCAAAAAAAAACCACTCTCAACTTGAGAATACAGAGATTTCTTTTCTTTAAGAGAGAGATCTTTTTCTTCAGGTCGAGAAATAACATTATTTTCTGTGAAAGAAAAGTGGACTGGCAAAGATTTGATCATTTCTCATAATGATCGAATTAGTTATCAATTAACTCTTGACTTAAGAATGTAGAGATTTCGAAGTTTCTCCTTTCAGAGAGAGAAAAAGAGATCTCTTTTTTGAGGCTGAAAAACAAGTTTTCTTCTGCGGAAGTGGAGCGAATCGATAAAAATTTAGTCGCTTTACATAATGACTGAATTAATGTGACCAATATCTAAGCACCAACTATTAAGTACTTAATTAAATACTTACCTACGCGATATATTGAGTCTATGCATAATTCCGTAGCAAAATTCCGACAGATGTCATTCGCAGTTGTTTTTCTGCTCTCACATGTGTCAAACATATGAAGTGTCGTACATTAAGGGGATGCTGGAGTCGATGACGAACTCAACAATGTCGATAATGCAGAGACGATCGTCACTAACATAATCACGCTATCCTTTTCGTATTTCTTGTATATATAGAACCTAGATAGTACAGAGAATTCAAAAAGAATTCAAAAAGAATTCAGTCGTATATCACAAATTCTGAGTTCATTTTCAGATGTAAAAAGAATTCTTCAGAGTTCGATTCAGTGAAAAGAATTCTTTTTATAACTAAAAGTAAACTCAGAATTTGTGACATACGACTGAATTCTTTTAGAATTCTCTGTGGTATCTTATATGAATGTGTTGCTTTGTTTTACAATATTCAACGGAAAGCCTAACCATATACGTATAGAAATCTTTCTGCAAACTTTTTCGATATTCTTAAGCTTCCAAATGCAGATGCGAAGGTAGAGTAATGTTCTTCGAAATTTTTCTGTTTGGAGCATCCACACTTTCGTACAAGCTTATGTACAAGCTGCGGAACTTTTGGATTAGGCAAATATTACGCTGACAGCTTGAGATTTTACATTAAAAATTTTTTGTTCGTTTTCGTCACATATCAAGCAATGCTCCTATTTATTTTTGCACGTACTTTCATCGCGTAAAAGCATTTGTTTTGTTTTTTAATTAGAGTAGAAATTATTGAGGAATATGATTCTCTAATAACATTTTTCTTGTTCAATACAGTTGAAAAAAAATAAGTGTGAATTAAAAAATTAAAAGCAAAACATGGGTTTTTTCAAAATTCACTTTTTTCTACATGTGTTTTGCTTGAAATAATTATATATAAAATGGAAAATATTGTAACAAAAAAAAAACTACATTAAAATTGTATTTCTTTACAATGTTTCTTGTAAAAATTATACTAGAATTAAAGTATAAATTACTATAAAAAATATAAAATTTGACAAACATATGATATAAAAAATATCCAAACAATTACAATAATTTGCAGTAAAAAGTCAAATGTGTATAATAAATGTACAGTAATTTCAGTCATAATTCTATATGGTCCACACAAAATCACAAATATTTTGTTGTAATTTTTACTACAATATTTTCTTCGTTGATCTGAGCAAATCTTAACTATGTTTAAGGTTTTAAAGTCAATTAAATTTTATATTAATAATCAGCCATGTTTTCTCGACAGATTGATCCATCTAACGCAAATATTAAACTTGTAAATTAATTACTAATCGAATATATGAAAATTACTAATTCATATGTATATATACATACTAGATCATTTTCTGTATCATAAGTTTTCTTCGAAAACCATAGCATTTTTCCTTACAAAGATGTTAGCTACGGTTACATCAAGTCCGTGAGGTCTGACTTGTTGGCTCTTTGGAGCGTAATTTATTCGCAGACCGACTTGGAAAGTGCGTCATCAAATCGCACGTACCCGGTTCCACGATATCTATCTTAATCGCAAATGCTGGAAGCGTTAAGGCCCCTATACTATCTGAAGCAGGTATCATGCAAATGATACCTGGTAAAATACGAATACATCCGCACAGTGCCGGCAGCCTCAACAAAGTATTCTTACAACAGCATACAATCTTTCTTCTTTTTAAACGCATACGTCGGCATTTACCCATCGATATTTATTTCTTTTTTACTGAACTTGTTACAACGGTTTCAGACAAATTTCGAAAAATACCTTTGCTTCTCAGATCTTAATTCATAGCTTACCTATTCCATACTATAATTTCGCGCACTTTACACGAAGAAAAAATCTGTATTGACGTGAAGTTTGATTTCTCAATGAACGCGGAACACGCTTGATGGACGCAAAATTTCCGGGGTTTTTATGAACCCAAATTCGGTTCTACTCTCTTAAAATGAATCAGTGTATAGTCACTGATATCAGTTATAAGTATAGCACTGAGCAGTTTCAATGCTACACTTATAGCTGTATATATTTACTGCTTTCAGTGACGTTCCATTGATTCACTTTAAGAGAGTAAGGATTAGAAATTCCGTCCCCTTCAACCAGAACGCGTTGGTTCATTCATCACGACCTAACTTCACGTTACAACCGGACTTTATGCTCCGTGCATAAAAAGATGAAGTGGCCGACTCTTAATTCGCAGATTCGAATTTTATCGACGCGAGGAATCATATTCCGCTAGTGTTTGCTTTACGCAGAAGCGTGACATGACAGAAAATCGCCTATAATTGCTTGAACAGCCGTCGCACATGATGAAGTAAACGTGAAGCATTGGCCAAAGGTGATTGGCGCGTCATTCAGTGTGCAGATAGTTTCACGGAGAAGTCGCGTCAAGGCGCGTCGCATTGAAATCTCCGCGTAGTTCCACTCGTAGCTCACAGCTCGCGATATAGAGAAGACAAATAAGAGGCATAAAAGACTCCGTGGTGTCACAGATTGTTTGCAATTTAATTTTCACACATTCTCCTCACCCATACATACAATAAATTCACTACAAAGGAAGTGGCAGCGCTAATAATAATAATAGTAATAGTAATAGTGTAATAATAGTAATAATCATAATAGTAATAGTCGTCTCTTACACACTAAAGAAGATATGAACGAACACGAGTTCACAATTCCAAGTGGAAGTCTTGTCTGACAACGATTTCCGTTGTCCGTGGAACACAAGTGGGTAAAAAATAAAAGGGAAAGACAATGCGAAACGAAAGAAGCCTTGCGCAGAAGGCGACGACGTTCGAAGGTGAGCAATAACGGCGACGAAGTTTCTCGGTTTCCTTTTCGTTGATTCGTTCGTACACTTGTTTGTGCGCTTCTCTTTTTTCTCAGAGGACATCTCTTTCTCTGTTTTCGATCCCGCGCGAGTGCTACGTTACTTATCACATCTTACATAAGGCAATAGATACACGTGAACGCGACTGACAGATAGACACCGCGACGCGGTAATTCGTCGTCGGTCGTTAAGAGGCCAGATCAATGTAACGCTCTGGAAAAAAGCATATTTTTGGAAATTAATTTCGCGGAAATGGGCAACCGTTCTGAACCGTTCTGAAACATTGTATATCAATTAAATAACTATTAAATTTTATATTATTATTTTTATTATTTAGAAAAGCCTATATAAATAAATAGGCAGCATGTGGACGAGATGCACGATTGCAAAAAATATCGCTGCAATCGGCAGGAAAGATGACACCCGTTCCAGTGACCTGAGAAAAAGATATAAAAATTAAAAAGTTTCTTAAATAACATACTAATTGGAATGAGTCTAAAAAATTCAGAAAACATTAAACTTAATGCTTTTCTTAATAGTGCAAAAAAATGCGAAATTTGGATATTCAATTTTGTAAGGGCTATTGTTTCTGCAATTTTCGTTTCGCAGTTTAAAATTTAGGTTCATCCTCCAATGACAAGCATATTACTTAAGAAATTTTTTAAATATATAGAATATATAATATATAATATATAATATATATAATATATATAATATATAATATATAATATATATAATATATAATATATAATATAGAATATATAATATTATATAATAATATATAACAATATATTGTAAAACTTTTTATAATATACAGAATATACATATTTATCTATAGGTTTTTCCAAAAATAACAAAAAATAATATTATAAAGTTTAATAGTTACTTAATATGCAATGTTTCAAAGCACTCGGTTGATCCATTTTCGCAGAATTAACTCCCAAAAATACGCCTTTTTCGGAGCGTCACATTGGCCTGGCCTCTTAAGAGAACACATACGAACGAAAATCGGCCTTTGTGCGTGCAGTCGACCGTTCTGTGAGTCCCCGCGCACGCAGGTCGCGGTGCCGCAAGCAACGCGGAATTCTTGCGGTGGCGCGATGACGCAAGCGAACGGCGGCGAAAGTATTCGTACGAACACGTGCACGTGAGCAAGCGAGCGAGCACGCTCAGACATCGAACGCAATGATTAATTCCCTCTTCACTCGAGACGAATGCACTTTACACTAAAAAAAATATATATATAGACGTCTCGCGTCGAAAACTACGAAAACGCGCGACTGTCGGCTCGAAATCCCACGCGAGACGACGCTGGCGCCTCGAGACTCAATGGGGAACATTCAAGTTCGAGCCGAAGGTTCCTTCCTCGAAGGAGAAGTCGCGAAGTCTCTCTCTCGTCGTTTATTGCTATACAACTCGCTAATATCTTATATTAAGTATCTCATCTTCTTGCTCTGATTGTCTAAGAATCTACCTAAGAGAACGACTGCAAACCAATCGAGGACTCTATGGTTGCAGTTGAAATTAAGAGTTCTCGGGCGCACATCGCGTGTACAGTTAAGGAAGTTTCTCATCGAATCACGCATTTCTCTAATGTAGCCTCTCGTTTCTTTTTTTTTCTTATTTTTCCATCGATACGCGGCGAGCGATAATGATCCCTCGGTCTTTCAACTCTGGACAACGTCTAAAATGCAACTTTCATTGAGACTTATAGCTTATGGTTCAGTTTTAAGTGTAGCACTGTCACCTCAATAAAGTCTCGTTGAAAGGATCAGTGACAGGCGGCGACTGTTCCCATTATTGGCGTTAATTGCATCGTCAATTGTATCGTAAAACAATTAAACTGAGTATGATGTGCAACAAATTTGTGTATAACCGGTCGCAAATCGCCTTGCACACTTTTTATCAAATGAAGTCGCAACGCCTCAAGTTATCAGAATTGAAGGCTGATACGTATGTGCAATAATCGATGATGAATGAGCCGAAGTGAAATTCGTGAAATTCGGAAGAATTTCGCAGAGTGTGACATTTGTGAAACTGAGAAGGGAGAATTTATTTTCAATTACGAAAACATTAAGAAACATTTTTATGTATTTATACCTATGCGTACACGCGTCAGCAGTGTCTTTCAATTCTGACAACTTAAAGTGTTGCAACTTTATTCGATAAGAAGTATGCTGAACGATTTGCAACTGACTGTGCTTTGAAATTTAGTTTCAAAACGGTTTGAACGCTTCTTCTCGATGCAGTGTGGAACACAACCGATGATCCAATGAGAGAACTTGTTTACCAATTCTTAAAATTTCTCTCGTTGATTGAGTTCCAAATTACATCGAGAAGTGTTCAAAGAGTTTTGCTCAGTATACCACAAATTCTGCAGTGAACTCTTAGTTCCATTAAACAAAATCAATAAGATACAAGGCGGAAAAGTAGAGTGACAGTGTTTCTCCTGGAGATCAGTGAATACTCACTGATTATTGGTGAAATGCTCTTTTTATTGATTCAAACCAAAAACACATTTATTTTAAGAAAACCAGGACAGGCGCAATCAGATATCACGCGTTGATTACGCCTCTCGCGTCTTGTTGCATCATCGGTAGTGTCATTCGATTCTGACGAGATCGTACGCGCGTTTTCAGTGTTGGAAGGTTCTTCAGAATCGCGCTGCATATAATTAACCTTTCCCGAGCGATTACTTCTAATCACACTAGGCAGCCACATTTCATTTCCGCTGCTTCCGCCGGAAAATGTCACGTTGCGCACGTTCGTCCGCATTTCACTCAAACGAACAATTCAATCGGTATTATATACACGATCGACTCAGGAGAGCTTAATACTGTGAGATTACACGGAATTTTGTCGTACGATTTTCAAGGAGGTAGTTCTATCGTTTAAGAAACCAAACGAGAGTCGGAGCTTTTGTGGAACAATAGCGCGTGTTCTTTGAAAAAAAAAATAATAAAGAGCAATAATATAAGCGAATGATTTTTTAACAAAATTTTTTATAGATTATATCAATATATTCAATTATATAAAACTGAATAATGTAAAAAATATTAAAAAATATAGTCACACATGGAGGATTTCGTGTCTTCTGACATGCATACAGACAAAACACTATTTGGCATTTATTGTAGTGTACAATCTCATGGTGACAGAATTTTTATATCAAAATTATCTCTTTCGTAATAAATATTACTGTAGTTTATAGCAGTAAGAACTTTATATGCATATTACTATTACTACTTTTTTTGTTAAGACAACAAGAAGATAAATTAACTTTTGAAAATAACTATAGTAAAAAATAACTATACAAAGAATGAACTATAGAATAGATAAGATAAACTAAAAAAAATATATATAAAGAAAGTGTTCTGTTATTATAATCTCACACAGTGACGGAATTTTCCCCAAAAGAATCATTTTTGTAGTAAGTTTGTTATAATGTAACGATAATAATAATTTTGTACTAAAATAACTTAAAGATATAGTTGATACCGGAAATAGCTATAATAAAAAAGTAATTAAATAAAAAAATTAATGTACGGTAACGCGATTGATGATGCGAAACGAGTCGCCTGTGAACAGCATGCCAGTCGACATGCGTGTCAGAAAGCATGGAATCGTGTGACGTCGAGCTTCAGTTCGATAATGCGATAATGCAAGGTGTGTAATGCAATAGGTATATAACGGATGTTTCACTCGAAGGTTCTTCGTGATCAGAAGCAACATTGATCTGAGAGCTATGTCACTCTCGAGGACGTCACCTCGTTGAATTAACATCATTTGTTTGTCAGATGTATTCCTGTTGCGCCTCTCGCACACTCCGAACCCTTCGCGTCTCTCTTGACTTGTACTGTCGTGGTTCGCGAATTCGGTACGTCGCTCGTGCCGACGGCCTTGGAAAAAGCGCAGCGTGTAATTTAACTGTTAACATCGGATTAGGCGATTTCCGTCGGCTGCTCGCACGGATTTGCTTCGCGACGGCAAAGCCCGTCGCGAGTTGTCCTGGCGCGTTTTCAGCGTACATTTGTTTATTTATTTATTCGCACGCTCTGCTCGCGACACCGCTTATCGGCGGAAAGTTCTCGTTGTCCAAAGTTGGCGAGAGCTGAATCGAATCGCCTCTGAATTATAAGGTTAAACTACTAATGCCCGGACTTAATCCTGGACATTCTTATTATTTTTATCATTTTTATCGTATTTAAATACGAATATCTAAACTTTTAACATAGAATGTATATGTAAACTTAATATTCGTATATATATTTGTGTTAAAAGTTTAAATATTTATATTTTAAGACCAAAACAATGAGAATGCCCAGGACTGGGTGCTTGTCCGGGTTGATACTTTTATCTTACAGACCAATCGATTCAAGTTTCAATTCTCCTCTCGAGTACAGATACTTTACAATGCAATACAAACGCAAACACAACGTTACACAATGTACGAAATCTATATATCCTACACGTGTGTACGTGTGTGTATAAATCTGTGTATTTATAAGAGTCCTTAAAATTTGTGTATCTATAAGAGCGTATAAATTTGTATATTTATAAGAGTCCTACCGCAACGATGACGCAGAAATACTTCTGGAGGGATGCGCGTGAGGATGGATAGGGACCGGGGGAAGGGAGGGGCAGCGCGTCGCGAGGTGCGGATCTTAGTCCGTGAGTATGTCGGCACATAAAACTATGCAATTCCCTACTGTACATGCACGCGCGGATTACACGTTCATTTTGATGTGGCCGGAAGAGTTACTCATCTTCTTGGTGAACTCCGTGAGGAATTCCTTGTAGATACCAGGGTCCATGTTGTGCGCGAGGTTGTAGAGTATCCACCAGTCACCGAGGTTCACTTTATTGTTAATGCTGCGGCAGACCTCGATCGGCACCTTCTTGGCCGCCGCGTGTAGCAGCCTCGATCTCACAGTGGGCACGAAGATGATCAGCAGCCTGTACAGCATCAGGAACACTAGCATGAGGCTCAGCAGCAGAAACCAGAACCAGAAAAAGATGTAAGATTTCTCGTTGAACACGTTGAGCGGCAGCAGGCACAGGGCGTCGTGGTTCTGAATCGTGCCCGATGAACCGTATTTGTGGAAGATGCACTTGGTCATGCGGGGGAACATGTAGATCATGGGATCCACTCGCTTCTCTTGGTTCATACTGGTCCACTGCAGCACTCGCAGGCCGTAGCTGAAGAACTCGCCGCCCAGAAAGCGGTTCATCAGGTAGAGCTGGCCGATTATATTGACCAGGCATAGGAATTCGCAGACGAAGTACTTATACACGTACGCGGTGTGACTCTGAAAGCAAGTACAATTCGTCGTTGAATTAAGGCAAATTGGACTCAATGAGGACGAATTGGACTTAACGCGGTCGTCTCCCTCTCTCGTAGCGCGACACTCGCTCGTTCACTTTTTCTCTCTCTCTCTCTCTCTCTCTCTCTCTCTCTCTCTCTCTCTTTCCTTTCGTTAGCAGCCCTCGCGCGCGCATTCGTCTTCTGACATTTTGCCTCAAGCGACGATATCTCGCGCTAATTTGTTTGTAAATAAATGCAGCGCGCTCGCTGGGTTGTACACTTGAGTGCATCGATTTGGATTGCACAATTTGATTCATCTTGTACGTCAGTTTTGTTAGTGACAAGATTTGCCCGCGTTTGTTTTTAAATCGTGTATAATCGAAATTTGCACATGTCATCGTTGACCGATAATTAATAATTCCATTAATTACTTGCCGATATGCGACCTTATCTGTGATTTTATTTCCGAGGATATTTTAAGAATGATATAATACAAGAAAACGCGATAGTCAACAATGATAAGCGTTGCATTGTGTTGCATTATTGTTGAAATGACTCTGATATCCGATTGAAAGGTAATTGACCGATTATAAGAGTGTTAACATGTGAACCAGAAGATCGACTGCATTCCGTCCTGTATAATCAACAATGGCAAGCGTTGCATTGTGTTGCATTATTGTTGAAATGACTCTGATATCTGATTGAAAGGTAATTGACCGATTATAAGAGTGTTAACATGTGAACCAGAAGATCGACTGCATTCCGTCCTGTATAAACGGAGATAAAATTCCTGAAATATCTTATCCGTTCAAAGTTACGGACCCTACTTGACTGCGTTCTCACCTTCAGATACAACGTCATATACTCCATAAGGGAGTTTTTCTTCTTCTCTATGTTCTCTTTAGTATCCATGCTTTGATTTAGTCCCATGACGATCATCTGCATCAGGCCACCTTCCCAAAAATTCCACAGCCATTGCGGAACCCAACATAAAAGTGCCTGTTAAGGAGCAGATAATTAAGTGAACAAATATTCACGTGCTGGGAAAAAAGTCGACAGTTAAAAACAAATAACGCGACGCGATTCGTTGAAAAATGCCTGAGTCGCAAGTACAGTCAGGCGTGTCTTTACATAGTTTTCCGCGAAATTTATAGTCTATTTCTTCGTTAGTCCTGGAAAAACACCGTGAATAACTTTTCTTTACTAGAAAGATCTTAAGAAAAGTAAGTAGCAGAAAGCTTCTAAGAGTCGTCTTAAAACGTCTAAAAGATGTCTGACAAAATACGTCATTATCTAAATATCTCTTTAAGATTCTTTGAACAAATATAAAAAAGCAGCGGTCATCGTTCACTTCAATGGATGATGAAATAAGTACTAGAGTGAAAACTTATGGTTTACGGCTTAACCAAAAGTCACACTATCTTTTTAGTTCTAACGACATATGAGCCCCACTTTTTTAACCGAAGAGGAAACGTCAAAAACTGATTGTCTTTATCAACACCATAATTCGCTATCCATATGTGTAACGCACCGTTTCCTTATTTCAAGTTTATGATCTTTACTTTTAAAATTTCTTATTTCTACTCAACACGTTCGTTACACGAAAGACAAAAATAAAAGACATGGAAAAAAATAAAACAAGATTTGGTTTCAAATAAAACAGAATTTCTAATTATTATAATGAAATATTGTGGCAGCCAACCGGAACATTTAGGTCTAACAACAGACAGAATTTGATTACTACTGATCAAGTCATAACATCTGCTGTATAACAAGTGTTTGTTTATTATACAACTAAACTTGTTTAGTATACAACTAAATGAAAAATAGATAAAGCAAGTAAGAGCTACTCTAGTGTGATTATTTGAATTAGAGAAGAGTAATATATACGTTTCAAGTTCGGGAACATATTCGGCGCGTCCGTTAATATTATCAAATATTATTATCCTTCCATGATTTAAATATTAACATTAGCATCCGTGTTTATCTCATCTATTCTTCATTAAGATTTATTCGAATCCTGAGGTGCTGACCAATTCTATTGATTCAATAGTATTTTTTCCGTGCATTAAATTCAGACGTGTGATAGCGATAATTTTCTTTTCTATATATCTATATAAAATCTATATTTCTATACAAAATCTATATTTTATTATCTATATTATAAATCTATATTATAAATCTATATTTTATACAATTATATTTTATCTATATTATTATAAATCTATATTTTATACAATTATTACATAAAAGCAAACATAATATAGCCCCCTAAGTAAATTTTGGTAGCAAAACTTGTACCTAAATACAAGGCTCCTGGGTACTCGCATCGTCTATCTCTTTAATGACGTTAGAAGTGAGAAAACGCATGCTAAAAATTCTTGCAAAATACGTCGAGATAAAAAGATATATCCACAAAATGACATTTGCGATCAAATACATCTCTAAAACATTCCGCACACTTAACTTTTGTTCTAACAATCAATAAAATCAATAATTGTAAAATTAATATGATAGAATAATGAGAAAATTAAGTTAAAAAGGCAAGTTGCTACGTTAATTTTATGGTTATTTATTGATTATTTGTAGAACAAAAGGAAAGTGTTTGAGATATTTTAGAGGTATGCTTAATCGATTACAAGTATTATTTTATGAATATATTTTTTTATCTCGATGCGCGCGAATGCAAAATAACTTTGCAATTTTAATTTTTTAATATTGAGAAAATTAAATTGTCAATAACTTTTTAATTAAGGAGGTGCAAACGAAAGTTCCAATGGAACATTCGTGAGTAAAAGCTGAGCGAACGAATGCAAGAAGAAAAATTTCGATTTTTTTGCGTTATTTTTGCGATCTTGCTGCGTTAATTTTATTGATTATTTATTGATTATTAGAACAAAAGGAAAGTGTTCGAATTATTTTACAGATCTACTCGATGGATTGCAAGTATCATTTTGGGAACATATATCATTTTATGTCAACGTATTTTGCAAAAACTTTTAACGCGTGTATTGTCTCGCTCTTATGATGTAATAAATCAAGATGGCTATGGCGAGAAAACAGGAGTCTTAATACTCAAAATTCCGACTCGACCAAATCAATTCTAACGTACGCAAGTCGACCGCGCGACCTCCCACGTGTGTGCATCCACGTGTACGCCGCGGACAGTCGTCAGATATAGAAGATAAGCGCGGATCAGCGCAGGAACAAACGGACGGATAGAAACAAAGAGCGGTCCATGAGAGCGCGACCTTCTCTCTCTTTCTCTCCACCTTTCCTCCTTTCTCTCCTATCATTCCTATACGCACTCGCGATCGTGTGGTGCGATGTCGCGCGTCGTACGTGTGATAGATCGCTGATAATGAAAACGCTTACCTGGAAGAACAATAAGAAGCAGACCCACTGGTAGTATGTGTAGTATTTCCTTTCGGAGACCTCCCCAAAGTCGTTGGCTACTCCCGGATGGGCAACTTCCTTGCCGACCTGTGGACATATGATATTTCAGCGCGGGAATAACAATAAGAACGCGTTGCGCGCGCGCGCGCGTCTTGCTCGCTATGTGTCACCCTTTATGCGCGCTCACGCATAGAGCAACCCGATTCCACATGGCGTATCACGTCTGGCTATTGGTAACGAGAAATATGTCCCATTTTGTAGCGTTTCGTCGGGCTAAGAAGCTAATAGCCCGGGCTGTTGTCGTTAGGAAGTGCTGAGATTGGAACTTTTACTCACGCCTTAACGATAAGTGGAGGGGAGGGGGAGGGGGAAGAACGTCGTGAGAAAATGGCGTAAATTGAAAAAGCCCTATTCTCTTGAACTGAATTAGTGCTGCAGTGAAACTTTGCTCCTTTTTCTTTCAACGATATATATTTTTTATACGTGTTTTATATATTTTACATATTTCCCTTCAACCGTTATACATTCGTTTTGCTTTAACAGCAAAAAGTATAATTTAAAGGAAAATCTGGATTAAATAACCGAAAAAAAATTAATTATTGTTATAAGTATAAAAAAAACCGAAAAAAATTAATTACTGTTATAAATATAAAAAATTATTTTTTATTAAAAATATTGGTATTTCATCTAAGCTTTCTGTAGTGAACGCGGGTCGCCGAACGCCTCTAATTGGTGGAAAATAATCAAACTCATGTAATATTTTGAAACAAATGTGTGTGGGATAAGAAAATTAAAAATTATATTAAATTTATATAAACTTTTGTTATATATATGCAGAAAATTGAAATTTTACAAAATTGCGATACTTCGAAGTCACTTTGAAGAAGATATTTTTCCCTCTTTTTTTATTTAATCCCTGTCTATTTTACTTATTTAGTCCTCTCAGAAATATTAATTTTGACAAATTTCCTAAGAATTTAGGTTTATTCTCCACCAAATGTAATACAGTTTTTAAATTTTCTTGGCTTATTTGTTTCAGATTATTACATGAGTTGTATTTAAAAAAGCAAAGTTGACCTTGTTTTGACCTTGGCGACGCCATTCTATGTCAAATAACTACTATCGTTGAATGCGTTTTTTTAAACCTTACAACTTTTGTCTGAAACATTTTTTTTCTAAAATGCATCGTTTATGACATTTGGGTGTATCCAGACTTTTGGCCCATCCTGTATGTAAATTTTGCAGTAACCCCAGATAGACAGATGTATGTAAATGTTGCAGTAACTTTACGGTGTGTAGAATCACGCAATGCATAATTACATCTCTTATGAGTCTATCACATGTTAGTCATATGTACAACATACAATGACGAAATAGAAATACGAAGAAAAATCTAAATTTTTACTCAAAACAATGTGTCATTCAGTTTACTGGCAAATACAGACATATTTTGGTAATCAGTTTTCTTACTCAATATAGAACAACTTAACGTAAAGTTTACGTCGTGTCCATAAAATTATTTCTTTTTTTAGATTTAGCATATTTATATCATATATAACATGTTCGACTGGCTCTGAGTTAACCCATTCTGGGTTATTCAGCCTACGTTTATTGATCTTATAAGCTTTATGATTGGTTAGTAGAGACTTATGACATCAATAATCGCTCCCGGAGCTAGTCGAACACGTTAATAGACATCATGCTTTGGTTATTATATATACAGTGTGCTGCCTCGCTCAAAGAGTTAAGATCTCCTATTTTATCGATCATTATTTCAAGAATCGAGGTTTCGAACCTCAAACAGGAATCGATGTATTAAAATTGATATCTGTGTACTTCATATTGACATAACGTTTACCTTCTTTTATGCGACACAAACAAGTGGTTTATATTCAATCATATTTACTGCATACAATTAGCTCACACATTGATTACAAAATGCCATCATGAATTGAAATAAAATATTTCATTAAATATGATTTAAAATTTTCAGTGGTACAATTTCATAAATATTACATGACAAATTGCGGGCAACTTTTAGTTAATTCATTGCTGCATGAACGTAACAAAAAATTGTAATCATCGCACGATATAAATGTAATGCTTCATTTAATGTAGGTATATGTGTCTCCATATATATAATAAATATTTTGTAAAGTTATCATAAATTGATTACCGCACGTCGTGACGATCACGAAAGTGGTCTATCTAGGTAATCAGTTATTATAACTGATATATAATGTATTCTTTGCTTCCTATTTTTTTCTTTTTATCTCTTTTTAGTTTAAATCTTAAACCAGGAAAAGATAGAAAATAAAAAATAAGAAGCAAAGTGTACATTAAATCAAGTCAGGCTTTAAAGGGATCCCGGCAATATAAAAAACTCCCGGCGCTACAAAAAACTTGGGTAGAATTTCAATTTTCTAAAATAATTTTCTGATATTTGAAACAATAAAGATTATGGATAAAAAACCGTATATTGATATCTTTATTCATTTCTTTGAAAAAAATTCGTAAAAACCTTCTATCTTTTGGGTATCTAAACCAGAACCTCTCCTTAATCATTTCAGTTAAAAAGAGCAATCCTATAATTAAATAAGATAAAAATGAAAAGGAAACGAAAATAAAAACATCCATAATCTTAAGAAAGAAAGCCGCTATTGTCCTCTCTTTATATTTCAGTTACGATTGGCATTACAAGCAGGAATCGTAGACAGTCGTAAATTCACGATCTGTGATTGTTGGAGTGCTCGCGAGCACCACTCTTGACTGTAAAAATCCGCGCGTGAAAGGCATGCATATATATACACGTGCACGAGAGACCGAACATATATCGCGGCTATCGCGTATGGAAATCAGATGCTGATTGTATTACCGGCTACTGACCTATCGGATCAAAGTTGTAAACGCGACGAATAAATCTCTATTAATACCCACGTGATATCACATATCAGTGACTAATATCATATTTAGAGTGATGCAACCTGATGAAATGGAGAAACCCATAGTATGTGGTCATGTCTATGGTGTGTCGGTTAATTGGTGTATACTATAAGTCAATTATGAAATAGCAATTTGGAAGATGATAAATATAAGTGCAGTTCCCTATACATAGCTACTACAAGGATTTACTAGCTGCATATTGTGTCTACCGCTCTGATCCGACGTGATCGTATCGGCTAATGGCGCGTAATCGTCATTTAATTAGCATATACGATAGCTTCAACGTGTAGTTTCGCGAGTGTAGCTTTCAGTACAGCGCGAATACATTCAGTAAACATTGACGACGACTACACATATAGTCTGTCCATTAAATAAACATAAATTTCCAAGCATCGCCTCATGAGCAAAGTGCGTTTTGATATTGTGACTACAATTAGAATCTTGTTTACGGAAAGATTGCGTGATAATAATGAGAACTATGACGTGTATTCCCAGTAAGGCTAAAAAAACAAAGTGCGATTAATACAATTATAGAAGCATTCGAGCTAATCGATTGTTAACACGCTTCTCTTTTTCAACGGAGAAAAACAAAGTTACAATATAAAAGTCAAGGTAAATCACAAATACAGTCCAAGAGTAATTTTCGCAGCAAATTTGTTAGTCGATTTATAAAAGTTGCATCTCTAAAGGCCGTTGCAGAATGCCAGGAAACAGGGAATAGAAATTCGGATTAGTCAGTTATTTCTATTCCCTGTTCCTATTGGCTAATGCCTATTCCTATTGCCTGTCGCCTGGCATTGTGGAAGGGTCTTTATGAGGTATTTCATATTTCGCACATAGAATGACGAAATAGAAATATGAAAAAAAGATAAAAATTGACTTGAAACAATTTTATATAAAATGTAATATAAAAATCTAAGTATATATAACTTTTAGTATAAGTATAACTTTTAGTACATCTGTTACTTTGCATCAATATAATAAAAACAAAATTACATTATTGTAATGATGTAAATTTAATTCAATTAACATAAAAGTATCAATTCCCGGACACGTATCTAATCCTGGATATTCTTACAAACAAATAAATATCACTCTACACCTAAAAACGATTACTTAGTTTTTTTTTTTTCTTTTAAATAATAGTTATTTCAATAAAGAACATTTTTTGATAATAATCTTGAAGTATACTTATCATAAATTTTACAAAAACATTATCTAACTTGATTAGATACAAATGTGTGGATGTTTGATTAATTAGTATGAATATAGTAATGAGTTTGGAATGATCTTAGAATATTGAATTAAGTAGGGATTAGATAGAGAAAATTATGTAGGGATGAGTATGAAAATCGTGTACGTAGATAGTGAAGACGAAATAAGATGTTAGATAGAAAAGCAGGATTCACAGAAGCAGGATGCACAAAAGTGCATAAGTCATAGAAGTTATGACGTCATAAGGAACAGATAGTTAGGGTAGTATAGGTAATGTAGACAAACTTAATTTAGTATAATAATGCAAAGAAAATTATCGATACAAGAAATATATAATATAGAAAGCAAAAGTACACAAGAGATGAAGGAAGAAGAAAATATAAGAAATGAAGAAGAAAAATTTGGACATCGAAGGGAGTAAAGAAGTAAAGAAATAAAAAATAAAGATATACAGAAGAAGGATAACACAAGAACTAGTGAGACAAAAATTGTGCAAGAAAATGTTATAGAAAAAATCATGAGAAAAAATAGATTATAAAAAGATAGATTGCATGTTACACGTTAATTTTATGGTAATTTAATAATTATTGAGGCAAAAAGAAATCTTCGAACTATTTTTTAAATATATCCGATCGATTGCAAGTATCAATTTATGGGTATATATCTTTATTTCAACGTAATTTTCTAGAATTTTTATCGTATACTTTCTTGCCTCTGATGTCATTAATTAGGAGTTTCGCGGCAACGAAGAGATTAAGTACAAATATTTAAACTTTAAACACAGAATACGTATATATATTCAATACATGTATGTTTTTGTGTCGAGAGTTTGAACATTCGTATTTAAAGGTAAAATAATGTCTAAGATTAGATACGTGCCTAAACATTATGGTACTTTTACTTGAATTCAATACACTATTTGTTTCATAAATGTAATTCAAAAAGTTACAAGGTTTCCATCACTGATTGTCCCACGTCGTGATAATGATTTGAAGTCTACTTGGAAAAATAGTCAGCGAAATAAGCTGACTGTATTCGCTCGAGTAACAACGCACGATTGATGAGCGGGCCGCGGTTGTCAGGACTTTATTTTTCCATCTTTCAAGTTATATTTTTCACGGAAGACACGCGGTCGTCTCTCGAATGTTCTTAGCTCGCGAAGCAACGCGCAACACAGCTCAGGTAGATTTTATTTCAACTGTTACACGACACGGTGTTGCGATAGCGCCAACGTCAGCGGTTGACACCTGCGCGGAATTTGACCTGTTGGTGCAATCTACCTATATGTCCGTCCGTATACCTTAATATCTCTATCTTGAAAAAAATGAAGAGGCTTCAAGAGATCTCTATGGCGGTTCGCGCCGTTAAAAATTACCAGGAATGACGTCTGTACTGTTATTAGTGAAGTATAGAGCAAGCAAGGCAGGGGAGGTAAGATTAATATTTATAATCCGAACGTCCAGCACACAGAGAGGTGTGTGTATCGCGAAGCTGCAATTTTCGGGGAACGTCATTTCGCTTTCCACGAGATACTTATGTCGCGCTCGCGCACATCATAAGCAACTTCGTGAACGGCAGTTATGAGTAAGATTTTCCATTCTTGTCGACCTTGACATATAGAAGCTCCTCTCCGACAAGAATATGTCCAGCTAATAACAAATAATTAGTCGCAGATTTTCCAGATTATCGTAAAATTATCACTTTCGAGATCCTGTGGATTTGTAATGTTTACACGACGAAGTCTTCGACAGGCATACAGAGAAGAAAATATTTGGCAATTTATTTACGGGATATAAAGCTCATTCACAGAGAAATAAGCCTTATTTTATAGAAAGAAACCTTATAACCCGCCAACAAATTTTCAAGTCTTTTCTCTCAGTGCAGCAATCCGTCTTGCTGCAAAGTGAGCACAAATGTCGCTCATTCTTTCGCACATTCAGGTGCGCTTACTTTTTCATCATCAAATCAACTCGACTTCACCTTCGATTTAATCAAGCTACATGAACTGGATAAATTATTTCTCTGTTACGAAACAACTGTCCTAACAATTCTCATTATATCTCACCAAGAGAAGCTAATTATACCGTTAGCAGCATTCGGGATTTGCCTCGCTAATGTTTTGCGCTGGCTCTGTGCCGACCGAGACTCCCGCTTCGATCAGTTCTTTGAATACACGTTTAAACGTTTAACACATATCCGTTCAAACGCCTGACAGATAACAGTCTCATAGAAGTCGTTTCGATATAATTAAACGTTAATCATCTAAACCAGTGGGCGGGATTATTTGGTTCCCCTTGTCGCTCCAACTCGTCTGGTGAGCCACAGCCTCAGGACCGTTGACAACAGAAAATCTGTGAAGCGCTTCTTAATAACTGAAAAGTTTTTATCGAAACATAGGGCTTTACAGGTCTCTTAACGTCAACAGTCTCAAGACTGAGCGCCGCGATTGTCAGTCGCACAATCTGCCGGGAACAGCAGAAAAATAGGTGTAATACTTGGAAATCGCCTCGATTATACAAACAATTCCGAACTGGTTTAAACGGATCCATAATCACGTATACTTAACAACAAGAATAATCATTTACTACGATCAGTCTTGCGGAAAGAGCATATAAATACGATGTTACATCTGATTATCTTCCTTGTCTCGATTACCAGAAAGAGCTAGTTACTCTTGTTTCTGCTTAAAGACGTATAAACGAATTCAAAGTTAGTAAATAGATACACGTTTTTAAGAGTGCGTGTAGTCACGATTACTTCATTGTACGTATCGGTAAAGATATGCGCTAAAATACACGTTTAAACGTGCAATATAGAGCTCTGGTGTCGACACACTCGTCAGTCTCTCGCAGACACCTGTTCTTATGACTCGCGTTATTTCATCGAACGATATCCTACACCGGGAACGATTGCTACATACCTCTCGAAAAAATGCATCCGGCATAGCGAAGGTGGACATTATCCAGCAATAGGTATTGACAACATTATCAGGAATATTTTTGAGTATGCAGGCGATCGGGGTGCCGACATACTGGGTAGCCGTGAGTATCGCCGAGCACGCCAACAGCAGTACCACGGTCAGCTTGTTGTGAATCCTGAACAGCGTTGACTCGGTCTTGACACCCGAAGTCTTCAGGTACTGACCTAGGTTGCCCAGTAGCTTCAGCATGATTGCGTTGGTGTTTCGTGGACAGCGCGACGGGAACGAGGTCGACCTGGACGACTTCCAAGCCTAGTTGACGCGGGGAGGGGGGGGGCCACCACCACCACCTGCGATCGAAAGATTTCTGTCGTGGGACGTCACCTTCCTCTTCTCTCACCACGTGAATTTCTAACGGCGGCTGTATCGCGATCACCGTACACGTACCATCAACCGGCACTAACGAGTGTGTTCATCCAACGCGCCGCTCGCGAGAACGAAAGCAGTAAACGAAACGAGAGAGAGACACACGAGCGTGCACGGTTGTCCACACGGCCTGCCTCTACCCCCCTCCCTCCTTTTTTCTCCTTCGTCTTCCGTCTCGTCTTCACCAATGCCTTGCCACTTCACCTTCCTTCTCTGTTGCCCCCTCTCTTCGTCTCTCTTTCTCTCTCTTGCTCCCTGTTTCTCTCTTCCTCTTTCTGTGCCCTTTTTTAGCGTTTCTCTCTTTCTCTTTCGATCTGTCTTTCTCTTTCACTCTCCCTCCCTCCTTTTCTCCCTTTCTCTCTCTCTCTCTCTCTCTCTCTCTCTCTCTTTCTCTGTATACTCTATCTCCTCGAACGTCCTTCCTCCTCTGGACTCTCCACGCAAGCTCGGTCACCGAACCATGCTGGACGAGTTCCCGACGAGTCCTCGACGTGTTCCAGTTCCTCTCTCGCGGGAGATCTCGTCGGACTCTCTTACAGTTCACGCGCCAGCGTGAATCATTTAGCGAATGAGTGATAAAGCGCCACGCGGGGTCGACGTTGGGAGGGGTAGGAGAAGGAAGACGTCTTTGTCCTCTCGCCGCGCTTCCGGCTCTCCGAGTTCACCTCGTCGCTTCCGGTTCTTCCTCGTCCTCCGGGATGTTCCCTTCTTAATTCACCTCCTTTTTTCTGGTAATCTTTCCCTCTTCAACGATCAGCCGAGGAATTCCTCAGGTTGTTTATTATCCTCCGCGCGAGCAGTCTCTCATCGGATAATCCTTTCGACAATTACCCGCGAGATTCCTCAAATAACCTCAGCGTTTCGCTGACACGCGGCTTCCAACTGCACAGAACTCAGGTGTAAACAAGCACGCCGACACGAGACTCTCTCGAGAAATTTCTCCGGCGTTCTCCTCCCTCTTCGTGCTCCTCTTCGCTCTCCCAAGGATCCTAACCGACCTCAACCCTTGATGTCTCGAGCGATCCCTCTCCCATTTGCGACCGCGGAACACACGTTAAGATAAACAGCTGAGGCCGGTGCGCCTCGTCGTAGGTATTCCCTTCTCGAGGACAGAATTCTCTCTCTCTCCCTCTCTTTGGCCCCTTCTCCTCTTCCTTTCCCCTCTCTTCTCCTTCCGTGGTGGAACCGTATCAGAAGAGCGAAGATGTTCGCAACGCGGCTGCAGACCGTCGCGTATCGAGGAAGCGACACTAACTACCAACTGTCAATCGTACCGACATCTCTTCTCTCCTCTCCTCTCACTCCGTATCTCTCTCTCTTTCTCGCTTCCCCTATCCCCCTTCCTGCTGAAGCCCCCCTTCCTCACTCTACGCACATACGATGAAGGCAAAACAACGTAGCGATGGGACTCTCGCGGAGGAATAAATTACACCTCTCCCGCCCACTCTCCTCCTCCTGCCGGGCTTGCCACTGTCGCCGCAGTCTACTTTTTCTCACAGAGGAAATATCGTGAGACGGTGGCACGGAGCTGCGTGCGTCACGGAATACGTGCATGCGTATGCACGCAGCAACAGCAGCGGCAATACGTCGAGCGGCGACTGACGAGAAGTCGCAGTCGTTTGTTGTGTGCCGTCAAGGGGGGCAACGGCGGAGGGCGACGGGTACGGCGAGGGGGATCTCGACGAGGGTACTAGGGGACCGGCAGACGCCTATGCGGAATGGAGGGGAAGAATACTGGGCCCGAGGATGGGGAAGGATACCGTCGCCCGGGAGAGGGGGAGAGCAGACGCACGCCTGCCAGCGCGGGCTCTACAATGCGCGCGATCTATAGTTCCTGCCACGCGCTCGCGCGCGCGCGCGAGTCTATCCGACGTTATTACCGTTACTACCACGTCGACCGTCCATTTTTTTTTTCCAGCGGCGTTTGTTTCGGGGGCTAGGGCCCCCCTCCCCGCCCCTCCCTGCCGCGGGAGTGCGCGCACATATGTGGGGTTGGCCGTCCCCGCAATTTCCGAGGGGGAGCTCTCGAGGGACGCGCGCGATGCGCCGGAGTCGTTTGAACGCGTGCGTCTCGTGGAGCGCGTTGAATTATCCCCGGGTATCAATATCCGCTGAGAATTTTGCGAGCGAGATAGCGGTGTATGGTAGCGCGTTCGTGCAGCGTAGAAAAATATTAGACCGGTTCGTTTCAGCGGAACTAAGCGACTAAATGACTCGGTAATTGAACAGGCCCTAATGACCAAGACGTTAATAATATATTTATATTTAATATTTTTAGGAAGAAAAACCCCTTGAAAACTTGTTAAGAGATATTTCTTTATATCGATTTTTAGTATTATTTAATGAGCACATTTAATCATATATTGAATCTGTATTCGACAATTAGAACATGATTCATTTTTCGGTTCAGTTATTGGTACAACCGGCATTATCTAATACATCTCATTAAAATTATAACGCAATTTATCGATTGTTTCATTTCACAGAAGGCGAACCGAATAAACGAACAATATTTAATATAAACGTCTGTTTTGTTAGCAATTCCATTGATTATTTATTGATAAAAGGCTGTGAAACTTATCGTACTTTCTTATTCTTAGAATTTGAATAAAATCAAGATAAACTTGATATTTTACCACGGAACTCCAGGCTTTATAAGGAGTTAATCATTTAAATTTACTTCATACAATAACGTAAACATTTTTTTATATTAGTGCAGCAACAAATTTACTTTACTGAGATCTCTTTGTGTTACATTTTGCAAAAGGCAAAAGATGCAATCTAGTTCAACTAAAAGTAACAGATCGATATCGTAATAAACACACGCGTGCGTGCGACTTTCACGGAAGGCGATGGAATCGATCGAAAAACGGTCGCTTTTTACGAAATAGGAGCGAATTAAAATATTCCTTACACATTGTTGCGCAAGGTTTCATCAGACTCTTCTTCAGCAGCCTCTATCTTGGCGGTGGGATCATTACCGCGCTGGCGGTTACATAATTATTTCGTGGAAGTAAATCATTTCGACCATTTGTGGCTTTCAATCGCCACGACGCCTTTTGTATTTGTTAGCGACGCGTGAAAATATACAACGAAGTTGGTATGTGCGATAGAACGCTGTTAGGCGTTAAGAGAACAAATAGCTGTAAAAAGGACACATTTCTTGTGCTGTCGTGAAGTATTTATTTAAGTTGCTTATCGGCTGTTGCGAAACTTTCGGGGACATTAAGAAGCTTACTTATGTGTTTACTAACTTACTATACGTATACCATATACTATAGAAGAATTCTTCCACAATCTCTCTCGGGAATATCGATTGCTCTTGTCTCTATTTCTTACTTCGTCTCGAATGAAAAAGCGAGCAATTTAATTGATCGTTATCTTAATTAAATACATTCTAGTTTTTACATTGATTACTACGCGTAATTATAATTTCATTACTATATATGCAATTTTTTCGTCAGAAACTTTATTTTCTCCTTATTTTTATCTTATTTTCATATTTTTTACTATTTTTATTTTGTTTTTATATTTTTATATTACGTTTACTTTTAATTTTTTTGTCAGAAACTTTATTTTCTCTTTATTTTTATTATTTTTATTTTGTTTTTATATTTTTATATTACGTTTACTTTTAATTTTTTTGTCAGAAACTTTATTTTCTCTTTATTTTTATTATTTTTATTTTGTTTTTATATTTTTATATTACGTTTACTTTTAATTTTTTTGTCAGAAACTTTATTTTCTCTTTATTTTTATTATTTTTATTTTGTTTTTATATTTTTATATTACGTTTACTTTTAATTTTTTTGTCAGAAACTTTATTTTCTCTTTATTTTTATTATTTTTATTTTGTTTTTATATTTTTATATTACGTTTACTTTTAATTTTTTTGTCAGAAACTTTATTTTCTCTTTATTTTTATTATTTTTATTTTGTTTTTATATTTTTATATTACGTTTACTTTTAATTTTTTTGTCAGAAACTTTATTTTCTCTTTATTTTTATTATTTTTATTTTGTTTTTATATTTTTATATTACGTTTACTTTTAATTTTTTTGTCAGAAACTTTATTTTCTCTTTATTTTTATTATTTTTATTTTGTTTTTATATTTTTATATTACGTTTACTTTTAATTTTTTTGTCAGAAACTTTATTTTCTCTTTATTTTTATCTTATTTTCATATTTTTTATTATTTTTATTTTGTTTTTATATTTTTATATTACGTTTACTTTTAATTTTTTTGTCAGAAACTTTATTTTCTCTTTATTTTTATCTTATTTTCATATTTTTTATTATTTTTATTTTGTTTTTATATTTTTATATTACGTTTACTTTTACTTTGGCTAATTTTACTTTCCATATACCAGTAGTTTAATACAATTTCACTTTCTTTCTCTTTCACGCTCAAATAATGAGTCAAGTGAGTTTTATCGGACGGAAAACGTTTGAACCTTCATCGCTCTCGTGGCATTCATTGTATTCCTTGAATCTTCCAAGGGAGAGGCAGCTTTCTACCTTGTCCTTGCGTTTTTGCCGTCGCAAATGTGCGTTTTTGCATCTGACACGCTTTGAAAGCCTACATTTCCTAAGAGCCGACAATTCTCACTCCTCCGAACAGATATTACGAAAGTGTTCAGAAGGATTTACGGTCGGAATTGTTTCGTTCTCACCAGAAAACGCTGACAGATAGAAACCCAGAGAATAATAAAACGATCCTTTTGCGAATAATTTCATGATACTTCTGGCCTACCTCCTCCTCTCCTTCCTTTCGGAATACAACGTTCTCTCGTTCTCTCTTCTCTCACGCCCAACGTGACTCTTCGTCACGAAGCGCTGTACATCAGTGCGCTGAGTAATGTGCCCGTTTGTATGAAAATTCAGCATGAGAGCCGCGCGAGCCTCCGCGGTGATTCATTGCGCGTAAGCGCGTCGGAAGCGCCAGTATCACTACTACTAGGGGGATTCGATTCCATTCATGCGGATTCGCGCGATACACCCGTGGCCACTCGTAACAGCCCGGCCAACTTCCGCGTCCGAGCGTACGTATATATGCGTATATATGCGTATGCTGCAACAGCCGCCACTGTTGCATTTTTCGCCGTGACTCGTGCTCGCGCGCGCGCGCGCGCGAACCAGATGGACGAGGTGACGCAACGAGGAACGGCTTATGTGTTGCATCTTATGCAACATGAATATCGCACGAGCTGTTCACATCTTCATTTCGCGAACTCTGATTCCGCGCCGATCGAAATTGTTCGACAATTGTTTGTTGTTTTGTGTCGGACGTGATCTCGACGCGTGATTTCGACGTGACTTGTTCGCATGAAACGGCGGTCCACGTTGCTACAAGCCAAATTTCATTTGTGAAATGACATGTGTCTCACAATAATTATGAAAGGATTACGTTTCATTTCCAAGTCTTTATTTTATCTTACTTACAACTTACAATGGCAGGAAGTTCTTAAGTTTTTATCTTAATCTTATTTTTACATTTTTCCTACACCTCCACTTCTTTCTTTTCCTTTTTCGCTTCTTATCCTAATTATTTCTTATCCTACTCCTTTTCCTTTTACCTTTTTTTACCTCTTATTCTAAATATTTCTTATCCTATATTTGGCAAATTTCATCTTTTGGATTTCTTATTCTTAGATTTCTTATCCTAGACCATTTTCAAGTCAAAATATCAAACACCTTGAACGAACCCAGATTTTACCAGGCGATTTATAAAGATAGCTTTCCTTATGAATGATTCATATTTTTATTTCATATTTTTATCGCGCAGAATGACAAAATAGAAATACGGAAAGAATGTCGATCAAAGTTTACGCCAAAAAATATGTTATGCAAAATGTAATATGAAGATCTGGATGTAACTTTTAGTAAATTTGTTGTTGTGTCAATATAACAAAAAATTTATATGTATGGTTTAATTTATTGTGTAATAAAAATTTAACGATTACCTCAACACAATTAAGTATATCTGCTTTATGAACGTAATTTCGAAAACTGGTAAGTTTCTATAATCGATTGTAATCGTGATATCACGTCGTAAATCATGAAAGTTTATCTGACAGTTATCTAACAAAAACGTTAGGAAAAATACGACTTTTATCTGAATAAGATGAGACACGACTACTTATCTAGATAAATAAGTCAAGATATATATTTTCCTTAAGTCTATCTCAAATATTCCTTAGATTTATCTCAGATATATCTCAGATATATCTGATAGATCAGATAGATTTAGAATATTCTTTAGATTTATCTCAGATAGATCAGATATATCTGATCAAATAGATTTATCTCAGATATCTATATTAGAGATAATGCCTCTCATAAATATAATTTGACATAAATTATATCTTATAAATATGATAAAAAAATCGCAGAATTTCCATCATCGATTGTCTCATGTCGTGATAATCGTCTGTTTGAAAAAATTCAGCGTACACTATCGGTTAATTAGCCATTAATTTTGGCAAAAAAAAAAGAGAAATGTGGAAAAATTAGAGAAAAAATAAGTTTTTACCACGTGAGTTGCTTTTCATCGCGGCTATACCTCGAACGATTACTCAGATATTCGTCTTTAATCGCGTCCCACGCGTACTTC